GCACTCTAGGGTGTCGAAAGCCGTTCAAGTAGAACGGCGTGAACCCGGTGGACGCGTGTACCGCGTTGTTGAGCGCAAACTCAACAACTGGGAGTTGTACCGACCACGTACGTACGGCACGGGCATTTTCGAATATCTTTACGGAATGGTGTTGAGACACCGAGTATCGGGAGACTTTTCGACGAGGGCATAAACAGCCTCCTGGTCAACTCCAGCGTGCACCTACTCGGTTCCAAGCCGTTTGTGATCTACACATATCATGCACTGCGACTCAGTCGCCTCACCTCTCGCAGAGGATGGCCAGGCGACTCTCCTTCTTCGCAAAATAGTCTTTCGAGGTGAAATAAGAACCAGAAAAGCAATATGTAGCGTTGCTTTGGGCTCTCGGGTGCAAGGATTTTGGAGACTCCGACAAGAAGCTGTCGTCGCGACTGCGTGCACGGATGCATTGATATTCAGTGATAAATGGATTGCTGTATTATAGCACCGACTCGACGGATACTCCACGAATTGTGGTTTCTCACGATGAGATTTTGAAGTACCGTATCCTCTTTGAGGCTCACGACACCCCACTCAGTGGTCATCTCGGTCGTGAGAGGACCTACATCTCAATGAGTTGCCACTACTGGTTGTCCAAGCTGTACAAATGGATGAGCACCAATGTGCGCACGTGTGATACGTGTCAAAGGGTGAAACTCTCACCGAATACGGCGGCACCCTCCGGGTGCTGGCAGTCCATGAGTTTGGATTTCGTGACTGGCCTATCGAAAGACTTGGCGGTAGCACGGGTGTCTTGGACTTCGTCGACTGTTTGAGCAAGATGGAACATCTTGCGGTGGTGCCGGACATTATCGACGGTGTCGGTACAGCGACGCTGTTTGTGGATCTGTCTTTCGACAACATGGTCTCCCGGAGTCAATTGTCTCTGACAGAGACCCACACTTCACTGGGAAATTTTGGTCGACAATCTTGAAAGCGCTTGGAAGCAAGCTGAGTATGTCAACAACAGACCATCCAGACCAAAGAGCCAACCTGAGCGCGTAAATCGCGTCGGCGAGAGGACGTCCTTCGCAGCCGGTACGCTGAGACTCTGAGGCTCTAGAGCGCCATGCTGCAATTCGTAGAGCCCGTTTTGAATAATGCAGTGCATTTGTCTGCGAATAAACCGAGAAATACAGCTTACATTTTGAATGGAAGAGTTTATTTGCCTTGGGTTAAGGTGTTAGCTTAGCTTTCTCTAAATGAAAGACTACGACAGCCCCGTTGTAAGCTGTACTATATATGCCACTACAAACTCCGAAGTGCGTCGGATAAAAGAGTATGTGGCGCAACATTACAGCAGCAGTATCCAATTTCTCTAAAGCGATTTGTTAAAAGACGAAGGTAAAAACTCTTTGAGAGATACTATTAGTTTTGACAAGAATCCACCACAGGGACTGACACTCAAGAGAAGTCTCTAATCTTGAGAAATGCGTCTTTGGGTTATCGAATTGGAGCCTCACCTTATTCATACATCTATTATAGAAATGGACCGCCTGGGCCAGCATGTACTAAGATCGTTATCATCAGTGATGGCGATTCGTGTTATTAACCATTTCACGTCCGGCGCAACCGTTCCCAGTGTGACCGGCTATTCATGGCCATCAACAAGACACAAAGTACTAAATTTGGGTTCTTCCTTGCTCATGCACGGATGACTATACCGTATCTCTGTTGAGAGTAATGATGTCCACGAATTGTACACGGTAAATACTGTTTTTGGAATTCAGCAAGAAGACATAGATGTCATTGCGCATGTCGAAATGCAGAATATACCCGTTTTGTATACGTAGAGCCGATTTTTAGACGTAGTAGTTTGCACTCTGGTATATGAAGATGTTAAACAAATACCAAAATTAGGCTCTTCGACTTACAGCAATAGTGTGAGCGAGGTGGTAAGCAGTCTTCGTCTTTTCTGCGTGACAATTTTTTTGCTTTGCTCTAGCAAAAGATCGAGCCCTATGTAATTTTTCATCCTGCCTTACACCAATCATCGTAAAGTCATCACTATCGACGCTACAGGCTATGTTGATCGCACACACAGATTTATACAGAGAGAAATCCTGTTAAAACTCGTAGTGGAGCGAGCTGATACAACGAGTGACACAGATTGAGGCTTAGTTTGCACTTGCGTTGCAGCGCGCGCTTTGGCTGGTAAGGCACTCTGAATGCAATTCACGTTGCACTTTCGTGGGACTGTATTAGTTTATAAGCCAGTGCTTTGTAAAGGAGAGGTCCTTGGTATCTGTGAGCGCTCATCAAACGTTAAAACCAGTTTTTATGAGAGCTATACATTCTGTACTAGTTTATATAGCATTGACATGAAGTATATGTATCTTGAGATAGCAAAACCGATCAAAGCGCCCAAACTTAACATAATGCGGTCACTTAAAGCCAATGTAAATCACAATTCGGGCATGGCTAGAATATCGCATCAAGCATATGCACACAAGACGTGAATGTACGTCCTTAGACGATATTCGGTTAGATGAAGTCTACAATTGCAAGACATTCGCTCCGACGACTATGGAGCTACACTAAGACGAACTTTCGCTAGTCATCAATAAACGAAATTCACTAATCGAAAAGGATTATATGTAGATATCACTGTACTACTGTGGCTATGAACACCAATTCCAAAATTATAAAAGCTTAGTGCTCTTAAGCATCCAAAGCAAAGAGAGCGATAGACGAGCATCCTGCACAATGATGGAGTTCACGGATGTATTGTGACAAATTTCTGACGTAAAATGACTCTTCCGTCAGTTATACTTATCCAAAGCATATTAATTTAGCATGTGCACAAGAAAAATAAACGTTTTAAGCGATAACAAGTGTTAGTTTTGTTATGATATCGTGATCAACTACCTACTTGCCACCATGTACGCGGCGATGGGAAAGAGCAAAATGGTTGCTAAAATAAAAAACTTATCTCTTTTCGAGCTGATGACGTTCATTCTCTTAAGCCAAGCACCTATTTTGCTCGAGTTCTTCTCTGCCTTGACCAATTGATCAGGTTTCGTCTTGATTTCCTGGTTTAGTTTCGAATCGACTTTCGTCGAAGTCGACAGCTTCTTGACGTCATCATTAGCCGTGGCGGTTTCTTGAAGGACCCGGCGTATCATGTTACGGCTGATGCGATTATTTGTCGAGTCAATCATGTCAGATGACACCGCAGCGACGCCATCGCAAGACCTGACCAGACAGACGACGACAAGAGTAAAAGTCAAACTGTTGACCATTAGCATGACCGAGTCTCGAGGTCTGATCTACTTGCTGAATGAGGCAAAGTCCTGATGTTACTTCGTGTTCAGAAAGGAATCACCACGATGTACAGCAAGATGTAAGTCAGATACCCTATCTGCTGCTGCATCAGATCATCTCCACACTCTCATATAATGTAACAGATTTCTGTGCAGATCAGATCAACATACGCTGTACAAAGTCTCACACATATTGATCCATGCGATGTGCAGCAAAGCAATTGAGATCTGAATCTTCATTAGGGTACAGAAACATGTATATCTTTATGACAGATGCTGCATCACCAACAAATTAATTTTCACCAATCCCTGAATACTTACGATAAAATCAAGCAGTTGGCTATAATGTTTAATGTAAATTCAATCATTTTGTAATATTTTCTTTAGTTATATAGGATTTGTAATTTATTTTGTAAAGTCGCCGACATGTTGCTCTGCTGTGAGTTGCGGGTCACATTTACGAGCGGAAGCCTGTTCAAAGCGGGTCGTATTCACCAGATCAGATTTACTTCGAAGTGAATACATTTGAGTCACCATAACATCCACTGACAACTTTAATAGAAACCTTGGCTTGATAATCAAAGCTCTCCTCTTTCTTTTATATATATTTTACCTACAATCAGCTCTGTGTGAACGCATTCAAATAACGTTACCGGGTTCGTTTAAGTCTGCATCATTACATGCTTTTGCTCTCAATCTAATAAACATAGCCTTCAATGAAGCAGTCAGTTGACTCGACCACCATAAGTGTGATGTCACCATCAATGCAAGCGGAATAAATCAACACACTCGTCTTTCAGCCTATCAGGTCCACATTACGCAGCTGATACCAGTACGTTACTCTTCTGATGACCAAATGAAACATATTAGCAAATGCTAGTATCAATTTACTTGTGTCAATCCGCGCATAATGACCATGATGACTTCAGCACCCACTTTAGTACATTTCTCGAACTTTATTGTTCTTGACTATTATTCTGTCTGTATTCTTATGTACGAAGACACCATTTATGCAATTGTTAACACTTGAATATTACCATGCGAGTCTACGTTTTCGTCGCCATCTTTACAAGTGTAGCTAGCTTTTGCTTTGCGATTAGATTGAGATCAAAAGCATGTAATGATGCAGACTTAAACGGTCGTGACCTGCTTTGCACCCCAGTACTCAAACCTGACTCGATCTCGGATGGAATGCAAAGACATAACGTCGAACTTGTGATGAACGAAGCCCATCTTGACGACAAAAATAACGAAGCAAGAATGCAAAATGTCGCTGTTGTTGATTCTGAAAAAATGATAAGTAAGTGGCTAGACTTGATTGAAACAATGGAAGAGTCGACACACATAGCTCCCGCCCTGAAAAAGCCTCAACTGGAAGCATCGTCTGCTAATCAATTCGCGCTCCCTCAGTCGATCGATCCAGCATCTCATTCCAATCATCTTAGAAACACGGCTGGTGAAGATATAATTTTCGTACTTGAAA